AAATCTAGATACCGAATTGCTCTTAGATTATAGCGTCGAGCACAAAAATCGAATATCAAATTTAGTTAATATTACGAATGCGAAGTTTGCTTTATCAGAGACCCGATTCAGATACGGTCCAATATAAAGTATTAAATTGCGAGTTTCATATCGTTAAATTCACAATCACCAATTACATATTGTTTAATTTATCAAATTCTATTACTATTATTATTTCAAGATCTATTTAGTTTCTCTATTCTAATTAATCAATTATAATTTATATATTTTTCTTTTTTGTTGTTATTGTTATTTGTTAGTTCTATTTCTTATCGTTTTATTGAATAAATCTAATTGTTGAAAGATATTGACCTGTGGATTTCACTCCTTAACCGCACACCACACGAATCCCACAATCTTTATTCGTAAAATCGAGTCGTTTAGGGGTAAAAACCGCTCTTTACCTTTTAGCGCTTGTAACTAACTTAACATAGGTTCTAGGGACGTTACACATGTTCGATATTCCGTAGGAAATATGTGGAACTATATTGTTCTTCCAACTTTTACTTTCATCATAAATTTTATCAATTCTAATTCTATTCTTCTTCATATTTTCAAAAGACTCATATTTATTCATTTTATTGCGACAGAAAACTGTACAATAAAACTAACGTGTAATATACATGGTGTCTCGTAACTAGTGTTACTTCCTAAAAGGATGGCAGAGGATGTCATTCTGAACAAGATTTTCCTTTGTAAAACTAGGGTTTAAAGCTTTGTTTTTGAATTATTAAGGAAAAACATGGACCAATCAGAGCGCGAGGATTGTATGCGCCCAGAAGCGAGAGCGATAGTTCTGAGCCTTGTAGCTGAACCCTACAAAAAACGAACAATTGAACATTATTTGTAACTGTCCTGTTGATTATTTAACTGAGCTTTTACGTAAGGGTTTCTTATTAAACATTTGGGCTATCTCGGAGCATAGGAACTTGATCATAATCGCGATCAGCTACAAGGCTCGACGCTATCGCTCTCACTTCTGGGCCCATGTAATCCCCGCGCTTTGACTTGTCAGTGTTTTTTCTTAATAATTCAAAAACGAAGCTCCAAACCCCATTTTTGCAAAGGAAAACCTTGTTCAGAATGACGTCCTCTACCATCCATTTCAAAGAGTAACACTAGTTACGTGACATCCTGTATGACGTTTTAACATATGCCATGTCGAATCGAATTTTCATGTACATCTCACGCTTTGTGATTAAATACTTTCACTTCAGATACGTGTTTTACAATTTGTACAATAGTACAGTAACTATAATTATCAAGCACCTAAGGCACGAACCTTTACAACGTTCTAAAATGAAAATTTTAAATAACAAGAATGGAAAGTTTAGCGTACAGCGTATGCGCAACTCTATGGTGGCATAAAACGCGTTAATTGAGTTTTCATTCTTAGATTAAACCCCTAGATATAATATTATATGTAATCGAACAAACTACATATTATTTTTATTATAATTAGAAAGGTTGGACAATGTTTAGACTTCGTATGCATGTACATATATGATAATCACATGTTGATATAAATTATACTTTGAAATAAACCGTTAAGAATTTTAATAATTTGTCACAGTTGAGTGATTAAATATGTATTCCTTGATATTCACAGATACAATACCAGCTGGTACGAAACATCTATAGCCACGCAGAAATTACTCCAGATGGTCATACTAAAAAGCAATCAAGGTGTTACTTTCACATTTTATAATATCTTTGGAGCATCACTGCGAGGCTTTTCGGTGGTACGTTGTTTTCAATTCTACTAAAAAATTACTCAACCCGTTAAAATGATATTTTAAAAGATATTTTCATATTTCAGCTGTTTCAAACATCATTATCCTACTTTACAGTGTTGGTTTCCTTATCATAATGTACGTCTAAGTGCACGGCATTGACTCTACAGCATGTCCAATTCCGTCACATCATATAGTAATCGATTAGACGATTTTTCATCATAAAATAAGGTGTTAAAATCATAAATTAATAAATTAACATCTAATAATCTGCTTTTTCATTAATTGAAAGTAAAGCGAATGTGAACTAAATGAATCATTTTCCCGCAAAAAAAAAAACAAATTACAATGTTAAAACTCTGTTGTTAAAATAAATCTTTTTGACGCACTGTACACAATTTCGTTGCGGTGTAACGAAATTGCATGTGAAGCACACTGCAAGCTTGAAAGTACTGTAAACTACCATCTTGTATCATGTTTGGTTTAGGCTTAACACTAGAACTACCAACCAGTCAAAATGACTGGTTTCAGATTTCTCTATTTATATTACCAAATTTTATTGTCGTGATTTTATGGTAATGTCTGTCGACCATTTAGTGTCGGTAGTTCTAGTGCTAATGTGTACAAATGAATTTCGTTAAAACATCGAAACTCCAGGCAAGTAAGTAACGTATCAGTTTGAATTGCATTATGTAATGCTTCTATATCTGACAAGTAAACCTATCCAAGTGTCACTCTCCGATTTTTATGAAATTTGGATATGTTATAGTACATGGAAAATTAGGGGATACGTATTTTTTTTTATCTGCGGTAAAACATATGTAGGGTATGAAACAACCTCCCAAAGTGTGAGGGTAAAATGGAAAAATTGCGATATTTTCGAGATCAGTGAAGCAATTTTGATGATTTTTGGTATGAAAGTATCTTTCGATAGAAGACAAAAATT